GGGGAGCCGGAACAGGAGGGTGGAGCGGTACAGGATCAGGCCGATGAGAACTGGCGAGATTGGGATCGGGTTGCAGACGAGTTGACCTGGCAGAGGCTTCTTGGCTTGGATGGCTCATTGCTCTTCCTGGAACACGTATTCTGGGTCATCTCATTGAACACACTATTCACAATATTATTCGGTATGTTACCTGATTAGTTATGCGAACTTGGGAGGTTAACGAGCTCCATCGTTTTTATGCAAAAACACAATTTCGAGATATCCTCGATGTGCTTTTGAGCACTAACACCTCTTTTTTTTTTAAGTTGTTGATTTTACTCGGCGACAAAATGCGTTACCTGCTGGGGATTCAGAACATAATTTGTGTCAGAATTGCGAATTTGAGCGCATTTGTGAAATTTTATTTTATATAATAGTTTTTTTTTTTTTTTTAAAAAATCTGTTTGGATTAAATTCTTTGCTTTTCAGCATTCTCTCCTTACCAGCTTGGGCATTCGTTGCTCAAAGCACTTGGTCTGGCTTCGCGTATCACATATTTTCCAACGCTTATCTCTGTATTGCTTGGATATGTTATACTGAGTTTTATCGTCCGCCTTCTCCACGTTACAGCGAAATTTTTCCGACTGGCTCCGTAAGTTTTGGAACTTAAAGAATAAGATTGCTTTTTACTTGGTGTTCAATACTGTTCGGAAATTGTTACTGTTTTCAGAATGTATCGATTGCTGGGAATGTGTTACCTTGTCCTCAAAGTATTCCTTCTCGTCCTTACTGAAATCGGCTTCTTTCCTGTTCTTTGCGGTTGCTGGCTGGATATTTGTTCTTTGGTAATTTTTGATCTTTGTTTAGTTTAAAAAAGTATTTGAACTTAGGTTTCCATTCCTCTCCTGCAGTAAAATCGCCTCAGATTTAATGACAATCTAGAAAAGCGCTAAATCTTCCCTTTTCTTTCGTACATGCTTTCTCCCACCCTCCTCCCCACCTTCTCTTCCTGGTGCCGAATATGTTGATTTGTTCTTAGCCCAGGATGGCGCTTTCTTTTGTCAAATAGGTGACGGGGGCAAAGTGTTATAGAAATATATGAAAGAATTTCTCTTTTTGTTTCGTGGTTGACTCGTGATCGTTTCTTAGCTTCAGAGACACATTAAAAATTGGCATTTAGTGTTTGTAAAATGCCAGTTTCTAGATACTATTTGGTAATTTTTGATCTTTATTTAATTTGAAAACGATAAATTGAATTTAGTTTTACATTTTTCTCACGATGCGCAAAATCTGATGCCGTGATAGTACAAAAGTAGTAGCTGTTTCAAGATTTGAGATGATTTTGCTGAGAGCTTTCGGCCTATCCCAGTGAGAATCCAGTACCATCGAAATGCCCTGGCATAGCATGCAAAGTTGTGCCGGATCCTTTTCTCTTGAGTTGCATGTACCCGTTTCTGTGACCGCTGATGCCAGACTAGTGCAGTAGTAATTACCAGAAATATTAGCTGTTAATTCATATCCTGTTTTTCTCTGTCTTAGCAGTTGGGAATTTTTCGCGAATATTTGCAGCCATTGTTTGCCTCAACGCTGTCGCGTCGGCTCTCGTCATTTGTGGTTTCGCCAACATCTTCCCTTTTTATGCACTGGCTCATTGGCATGGTCTATGTTTTTTA